GTATAACAGAGAGTTAAAAAGGGTATATCTTGGTTAAAGAAAGAACTATAGTCTCTGAAGTCTACTTTCCATTAATAGTACATAAATTGGAACGTGTTTTAACATTGACCACACAAGAGAAAAGCTCTTAGTTACTTTAAGTTGGTATAAAAGGTCTTTCCATGCAGAGGCAAGGTTTTTATTTGTTTGCATTTTCAAAGCTAGGCGAATCTTCAACTGTATCATTCACGATCATTGACATTGTCATTTCCCTATTTTATGTGTGTTGTGCAGAAAGAATTTATTGGATTAGAAATTGATTGTTGAGTACAATCAATATTATGCACCACTTTCTTTTGGTATAAAGCTCTGTAATGCTATGTTCACGCTGTGCTCAGTGTTGGGCCTCCTTGCCCAAATACACATTTTTTGCTCTTCCTTCCTTGGAGGAAAAAAATGACTACTCTTGGGTAAGGTACCTCCTTTTAACAGCATGAAACTTTTCTGTAAATGTTCTTTTCTTTCTGATACTTGTTTCACAGACAAACGTACACAATTTTTGGAGGTGAGAAAAGGGAACAGATAAAGTGGAGGGGGGTGAGGCGCAAAACATAATCTGTATTACGTGTGCACAGGTGCTTAACCTGGGTTAGCACATAACTTTATAAACTGTGATGTAGATAGTCTAAAATGATACTCATTTTTCAGACTCAGCTCAAAAGTTTCCCAGCAATCCAGAGAAACCTGCATTTTTTTCTGCTCAGAGAAAGAGGGAAGCAAAATGAACTGCAGGGAAGAGGTGGTGTGAATGAAAGGAGTTTAGGGAAATTAGACAGGCCCAAGTTAGTATGGGGAGAGTTGTAGGGAAGGAGGTAGAGATGGAAGTAAGAGCATCTCTCTACATACCTGTAAGTCTGCCTTGCTAAAGCACCCTGTCATCTGAGAAACACCCTTTTTCTCTAATGAAGGGATGGCTTTCAGGAAGAGGAAATAACTGGTTTACACGTAAATACTCAAGAACAAAAGCAGTCACTTCTGTAAACCTGTGAATTAATGCTATGCCTTTTTTTTAAAGGATCATTTCTTGAGAGACATTTTAGTGTAATTATAAGCTATCAAGAAATGGGAAAGAATTTTGCAATTTTGTATGTGGGCCTGAATAAATAGATCCATTGAGAGACAGACAGAGCAAGTCACTTGGAATGCACCAGTCAACAGCAGAAATGTAAACATACTCCAACTACGCTCTCTGCACTTGTATTTCAGCGTGTTGCAGAACAAAACTGCTATTAATGCAGGCTGACTGCTGTACTTGTTGAATTCAGTAGTGAGTCTCTCACAAAATCCAGCTAGTTCACAGATCATGGATGAGAACCACACTGTGTCTGCCACTCTGGAAACTCAGGAGGATGGAAACTTGCTGCAAAGGAGACTCTGCTCTGTCTTAGAATTAAGTGTATGAAGTTGGTTTGCAGAGCTGACTAGGTTTGGAGCAAGCCAATAAAATGCTGAGGCCAACAAATCTTTGTGTTCCAGTGTGTTTGAACAACCTTATCTCATAGACAGGTACATCTACCATATATTAGTCTTCATCTGGTACTAGTCCTAATGAAATAACATCCACTAAGACTGTTGCTTTCTGAATTGTCATAATTATAGAAGCCACTCTCAGACTGTTAGAACCTTAGCCTTTAAAAAGTAGCGGGTTACTGGAAAAAACTGTAAAAATCAAACACAATTCAGTTGGTTGTATTGAAACTACTCTTACTCTGACTGTAGAGGAGCAATATTAATTGTCTGTATTTAAAAACAAAATAACTTCCTTATCATATCTCTTGATGTTTTTTGTTTAATTTTTTTTTTTTGTCTTGACAAAAGGAATATGGGGCTTTTTTGTGAGGGGAGTTTAACAGTGATACCAAGAAGGAAAGCTTAATTTCAAAGAGTGGTGTTAGATCTGTGCTCCAAGAGGCCTAACTATCTAGAAAGCAGGTCTGATGTGCAGCAATCTTTAGCTTGTGCTGGTGAAATATCTTGACAAACAGAATGTCCTTGACTATGAAAAGCTTCTTATGGCATTTTGTTCTCCACTTTTTCTTTTGATTGGACTGTGAGGTACCTCAAAAAGTAGCATGAGATACTGAACTGCATGCTGGAATTCCCTTGCCTTTTACAGGTCCTTCTTTGATATTGTGTAAATCACTTTTTTCTTCAGCTGCAGATTTATTATAAGTCAAATGAATTATTACAGCCTCTTGCGAAATCTCTTGATTGGGAGGTACTGGCATGACAGAGACATCATAGTACAGCATAGTAAAATCAAACTCTGAGCAATAGTTTCCTTATATGTTTAAAAATAAAAGGTAAATATCAGTTTAATAAGACAGATGAACCTTAATTGCTAAATGTTTATAGAAAGTTTTGAGATGGTCAGAGGCCAGGTCCTGTGCAAATGCAGTATTTTATTAAAATATTTAATAACCAGATTCTCTGATGCAATTGAGGGAACAAAGATGCCTGTCCACTCTTAATTTTCCCTACCCATAATAATTTCTATAGAATATAAATTACATATTGTACAGCTTTATTCTGTTTTCAGAGGATAATTATACTAGAAATTCCAGCCTTCTTTCTGTGGAGGGACCTTTTTCTCAGAAACCACACCTTGTAGAAGTCTGTTTTTCATTTGAGAAGGGCTGAATTTCCATTAGTGTCCACAAGTTTTTATGGGTTGGTGCCTTTCAAGAGATGGATACAGGTAAAATGTATGTTTCCCTTACTCACAAGTCATCATAATTCAGTCTGGAAGATGTATGTATTGGAAGCTGATGATATAGGAGTGGAAGCTTTTTTTTACATGTGTAATATGTTAGAGATTACTCTTAATTTCATGCCTGCTATTGTAACAGAGAGAAGCCTGAAATTCCTGTTGTAGTCATCTGAGCATCTCCAGTGGTATCTCTGTGCTGAGAGGGAACTTGGACTTGGTGTCAAATGAGGCAAGGCAGGATGCAAAATGGACAGTACCAGTTGCTCTGTCTATGAGATTAGAGGCTATGAGATTTATGTAACCATTTAAGGAGTTTAATAAAAGGAAAGGCAGGGTCTCAAAGTAAGGTTCACAACCCACTTTTGACATACCAGGAGGGACAAGTAGCAAAACATTCTCCAATATTAGAGACTAATGGACCCCATATATTTTCAGTTTCCTAAGAGCAAATTACTGTTTCAGAAATGTTCCAACTTTTTAATAGTCACACTCCACTGTTTTTAAACATCCACAAGTTGCAAAATTATATTCCCATCTGAGTAATTTTAGTAAGAGGGTAGCAGCAAGGAAACTGAATTCAGTTTAAAAAAAATCCTGTTCAAGTCTTACTTCTGCTGGAAAAGTTTGTTTGTTTTTTTATGTAGCTGTGGTGTACTCAAAGCTTTTTTTTTCATCATTGCATATGCAAAATCCAGACCTGCAGAACTGTTCCATGTGGTGAACAGTCTGCTAAACCCAGACTGTTTTGCCTGAGTAGCAGATTTCCATATACCTCATTATGAGTTTGGGATTTTTTTGATTTATGTAGACTCTGTTCCTTCAAAGGGATGTATGACTGTAGACCTTTATATGTACCGAAGTGATTTCTTATCAAGTACTAAGGAAAATACAAGGGCAGGTCCAGTTGGAGAATATGAGCTTTTTTTTTTGCAGAGAACTTTCTTTCTAGCCAGTTTAATTTATCATGGAAACACCATGTAAACAGAAGGCCACAAAGTTACTTAGCTTTTGAAGTTTTTAATGGTGGCCAATGAGTTTTTGGATGGTTAGTGAATGATGTAATCCACAGTGTGTAATGCAAATTCGTATCCCTTTTGATTGGTAAGGGACTATAAGAAAGATTTAGGTCAGTACTGCTAAAAGACAGTAGCACAGACTTTATCTCGTTAAATACAGCCTGATTTAAATAAGTGTTAGATCTTTCCACACCAAAGAAGCAATTATCCTTGGTAATAGCAGGTGTGCTTGAGTCTTCCATCCTGTGATAAAGGCAAATGATTAGGGTACTAAATACATCTCTAAGGTTATCTTATTTCTGTGGATTCCTACCACTCAGATTTCCAATCTGTGCATGGACAGAGTTAATATCCTCGGGTTTATTATTTCCTTCTGGGGATGAACAAAATCATAGAATCAGGGAATATAATTATGAAACAATGTAGACTGGAGAGAGCATCTGGAGGTTATCTGGCCAAGCCACTCCTCAGAGCAGGGCCAGCTTAGATCTGTGTGCTCATGGCAGTCATTCAGCTGAGCTTTGTGGACCACTGAGCACCACTTCAGGGGAGCCACTGGCTCCATAATCTCTTGAATTTTCTGTTAGATAATTGAAGGCATCAGTACACCTTCAATAACAATATGCCTTAAACTCCCCTCCTTAACAGCCCCACCTTCCCAGTGTTCTCTGAAGACTGGACAAACCCATTTCTTTCAGCATCCCCCCTTACATCATCATGTACCTCATAAACTTTCTGACCCACTGCCCTCTTAATCTAGTAGGTTAACATCTGTGTTGTGTTGGAAGGTCCAAAACTGGAGTAGATGATATCATCAATGTTTGCATCTGACCATCTATAACTCCTCAGTCCAAATTATTTTATTATACTTAGCTGTATTGACTGAAGGTGGTTTTTGGAATAATTAAGACTTCAAGTCTCACACAACTAATAAGATACCTGAACTACAGTATTCCACATCTTACTGATGAGGACTAAGGAACAGAACTGTTCACAATGAAAAAGCTGTTTCCTGAAAAAATGCTTTGCATTAAGTGATACTCCTAAGTGGGTCATGTTATAACCTGTTTTTGTAGATGGTATCACTCAATATTTCTTCTTATCACCACAGCATAAAATACACTTCCTCATGGCCCACTGACTTTAAGCATAGGGAAAAAGGACTGTGCAGAAATCATTTTCAGATCCCAGGGACCATATGTATAATGTACTGTTAAATTAACTTCTGTTTCTAGTGCGCTTGGAGGATCATCTGCCCTTCACATCCCAGCCTTTCCTGGTGGAGGTTGTCTTATTGACTATGTACCCCAAGTATGCCAGCTGCTAACAAACAAGGTAAGTTAGTAAAGACAACTCAGTTTTCCTTTTCATTATGGTCTGTATTGCATTTCCATAGAAATCGTTATTCTTCTGCCAGGTAGTCCAGGCAAGGCATACTTAAGCTGAACTACACAGGGAATATCTTTTTGATAAGAGCTGAGCACCTAAGCAGGACATTGAATATAACAACTCTTTTAGGTAAACAAGTGACGTTGGGGTCCGATCCTGGAGCGGTTTTTTTCTTCATGTGACATGTTCTGATTTAGGGTAAAATGTTATTGTAATGTATAACACTGCATTGTAGCATACTATTTTGTTAGTAAATACAAATATGTAGTTTGCATTTTATTTTTCCATTTGGGAGTTCTCATACCTAGTCATCACTAAGTTTTGAATACTTTCAATGATTTTTATTCTCATACGTTTCATCCAAATGAACTGAATCAGCAGTCTGTTTGGATGTAATAGCTATTTAGGGTTGCTGAAAAGGTTGTGTTCCTGTTAGCTTACTGTTTAAACAAAAAAGAACAATTATAGTATTTTGAAAGTTTCTCCATTATTTAAGAGTACTTTTCAAAAGAAAGCTTAGGGGCCAACATCTAGAAATTTACCTATTACAAACTTCGCATTTGTTTATTATTTTTACTTTCAATTGTCTAAATGAAGAAAATAATTTTATCTTCTAGAAAAAGTTCTTCAAAATGTGCTTCCATAATTATATTGACTCTATCCTTAGAGTTGTTTTTGTTGTGGTTTTCTGTTAAAATTACTCTCTGTTTTTAAAATCTGCAAGCATACAGGACTGTTTTTATCCTTTCTTAAACAAAGTCATTTGAGCAAACTTATCGTGCATTTTCCTTTTCCCAAAATAACATTTCAGATCCTACACAGAGCCTTCAAAATAATCGTAGTTTTTTATAAAATGAATATATTTCAATGTATAAATAGAATTCAGCTTTAAGGTATACAAGATAGCTCTCGCAATGAATGTATCAAGGCCTTTTCAGTAATTTTAGGAAAGCATTTGCCAGCCAAGAAATTCTGGTATTGCCATAGCCAAGAAAATACTCTTCCTGTTCCTTTCAGTGAGGAGAAAAAAGGGTTTCTAAAATACAGCTTTTAGTTCTGGAAAGTAAAGGAATTTACGTAGAGTATCATATATGGAACCACACCATAAGTACTTCAAGTCATCAGTTCTAAAGCAGATGCTCTTGCAGCCTCACAACACATGCATTGTTTCTGTTATGGGTCAAGCCGTGTTCACACTGTTCTCCTAAGTAATGCCATTCAAATCAATAAGAAAACATAGATGGTGCAAGGAGAATTTTGCCTTAAGTCTTCCAAATTTAGCATTGTTGGATTTTGTCTGTGCCAGGATGGAAGCCTTTCAAAACCCAGAATGCCTCAGAAGTTGATGCTCGCAGTTGAGTAGGTGGATCCCTGAGTCAGCATGAAACCGGTGACAGAGCTTAGTGTTCAGAAGATTTTGTTGGAGATGCACAAAACACCCAAGATCAGTTATGAAAGATACTTATTTTTGTCTTTTCTTTTATAACCAGAATGTTATTTCGACACTTAACCTACTGTCAGTTCAGGTAACTGTGATTTGTCTGTCACAGCTTTCTACTCAAACCTCAGTAAGGCAAGGCTGAGCATTTCTTTCCTTCACTTTTTATCTTGTGCAGTTAAACAGTGCTTCAGTCTATTGTGAAAAACTTAAGTTTCACTCAAACGTGAGTGAAGAGATTTCTCTGCAAGATGTTCTGTATGCAAGATCCAGGGCCTGTTTTAAAGGCATTTTAGGATTCTTTAAGGAAATCACACAAGGTAAATGTAGGTTTCAGAACTACTGCCATGTCAAACATAAATCTTCCTTTACAAGAACTATATGACAAACTGGGATTTAGCTTTTTTTATCTTTTTATAGCTCTGGATTTATTTTCTTCTTTCTTTTTTCAGGTACAGTATGTTATTCAGGGATACCATAAGAGAAGAGAGTACATTGCAGCTTTCCTGAGTCACTTTGGAACGTAAGTTTTCCTGCACTGCATTATTTTCTGTAGCATGGGGGAAAGTAGTTTTCTGCACATGGTTTGTGGTTGTGTGACTGCTGTCCACTGGATGAAATGAAATCTAGTCATTTTTCACAGAATGATGTGTATAAGTTGTCTCTCTGTAGCACTACTGTAATGAAGGTCAGCATTATTTCACTTCTGTGCCAGTTGCCCATCTGATTTTACTAGAAAATAGCTGATGATGGGAAAAGACCAGTAAGGATTTTTTCCTTGTGCAGAAGAAATGTGCTTATTTCTGAATAAATGACTTGGGAGGTCTTACAGTAATAGGCAGTGACTGAGGTGGGAGAATGGGGAAGCAGGTCTAAGCCTTGCAGGAGCCAGAAGCCACTGCTTGGCATAAAAACAGGACTGGGAGACCAGCTGCTCCCACCGCCAAGCAGTATTTTGTCTCTCAAGAGAAGAGGCTGTTGGGCCATGTTAGATTCCTGCAGATCAAGCAGTGACCATGGCCAGGCATGATGACACATTAGCTTCACAAATCAATTAACCAGGGCTACCCTGGGTCAGCACTTTGGCTTCCCACCTAAATTCTGACTAGAGTGAAAGTCCAACCCTTTACCTGGTTGTGATGAATGGTTTCTGCTTCCAAGGAGTGATGCCAAATGACATGGATATTTGGGAGCCCTTCAAATCTCGTGTCTCTCAAGCGAGCTTAGGAAAACAGGTGGCTTCTAGCATGGACCCCGATTTAATACAATGATAATTAGATAACGATGACTTGAACTGGGTATACAAGTAGACAGTCAATGCAAGCTCAATCTTTGTCAAGACAAGGTATTTCCTTTTCTTCTGAGAAAACTACAGTATAGAAATGACCAGGTACACCTATGATTTTATTATATCTACAATGTAGTTCATGAGTTCTGATACTGCTTGAGTTTTTTAGAGAATACCAACTTCTGATAATTGAAACTTGTAATCCATCTGTTGAACAAGTCTTCTATATCGAATTTTTTGTATGCTCTCATGTTTTGTTTTTATATATGCTCTTTTCAATTTTCAAATTTAAACTCTACTCAGCCTGCATATTTTCAGTTTTATCCTCTCACTTAGTACAGAGTTAATAAGTTACCTTAATCTGAGTAAGATACAGGGAATTTTTGTGTCCGCAGTTTTACCAGTTTAGGACTGCAGATGCATTAGCTGATCTCCTTTCATTCTGAAGTGCTTTTATGTAAACTGAACATGGCCTTTCTTTGGGTAAGAAACTCCAATAACACAGCATAATTAAGATTATTACAAGTTTAATTTATATTTAGCTAGACAATTTTAAATGTTACTAAACGAAGCAAATACTAGAAGTTTCTGAGCAAACAAATAAAAATAACAATCCCTGTAATACAGAATTTACCTATTAATCATTCAGTATTATAAGGTAAAAATTATATTAATTTTTTGTTGTTTTTCTGTTGACAGCGGTGTGGTGGAATATGATGCAGAAGGCTTCACAAAGCTCACTCTGTTGCTGATGTGGAAAGATTTTTGCTTCCTTGTTCACAGTGAGTAACACTTTGCCTCAGGCATAAGTGTCTATCCTCTTGAAGATACAAGTTCAAAAGGGAAAAAATATAATTACAGGAAACAATTTAAAAGTTTTAGCTGTTTTTATCCAGTGCTTAATCTATTTTTGATGTGACCATGACACTTAGAAAACACAAAATCCTAATTGTTTTTGGAGATGGGGGGAATTGGAGAAGGGGAGAGGATCCACATCAGTAGTGAGATGCCAGCTTTGCAAAACACCAAAAGCATCCTGGGGAGGTTTTCTGGTAATATGACACAAGTTCAAGTTCATGGTTGTAACTTGGCCTTTCAGAAGTGTCAATAATGAGAACCAGTATTATACTCAACCCGGGAATACCTAAAATCTTCTGTAGTTGTCAGGAGTTAATGCATTGATACTAACTGTAAAGACTCTCTGTTTAATTACATGAGAAATACACTATACCATCATTAGGATCCAAAAGATATTCCTAGACTGAAACTGTGTAGGCAAAACTGTCTTAACAATGTAGCTAGGTTTGCTGTCATTTGAAAGTTTTAAAAAAAGATTGTGTTGCTTTCAAAAAGACATTCTTAATTAAATATATAGGAATTAGTCCATGTGGATTAGTAAATGTGGCTTTGTTACATGTTACCTTTTACATGTTACTTTAAGTAGTAATTATTATTTTTCCCTATGCTAAGGTGAAATTCAGAGGTATCAAAGGTATTTTTGTCTGGGGAAATTCGTTACTCTTTAGTTTGTTTCTTATGCTTCTTATTTATGTTTAAAAGAATTGCATTGCAGTCTGAGCAGCTGCAGCATTGGTGTTTGTTAACATTCTAGCACTGGTATCTTTGAGATTACTTCATTTTTGATTGTGGGCTAGCTTTCCATGTGGAAAACTGACACTGTCTTGATGGCATCATAGAAATTTGTCCCAGAGTTTTTGATGCAGAAAGTGAGGATTGCCATTGTTCAGAGAAGTCTTTCACCCTGTGTTGTGTTGGAGATCATAAAAAATGGTCTCACTAGTTCCTTTCTTTTTATTACCTAAGATTACCACACAGTGGTGACCTTAAGAGGCCTGGAAAATTCAAACCTGAAATTAAAACACTTCCATCATATTATTATGAATTACGTTATGGAAAAAAAAATTAAAGCTGATATTTTTTGGAAAATTATCCTTGTTAAATCTTTACTTACATTTCAACTACAGTTGAGAATTGGTCACTGGACAGTTGTCTTCTATGAGATGGCACTTACTTATGTACAGCTTTCTTGGAGATTTCCTACCTTTCTTACTCCCCAACATGTTTGGGTTAATTGAATCTGTTAAAATTGGTGTGGATTTGATTTGTGCTGTAGGATAATATAACTTAATACATGTTGAATCAGTTAGATTTCAAGGGAATCAAAATTCAAATTTCTGCTAAATAACAGAGTAGGTTTTAACTGTGTAATATTCATAGTATTCAATTAAACTGGCATGAAAGGTACAATTATAACTGAATAGTTTATCACTATGTATTAACCCTGTGGCCTTAAAAATCATACAGTGTCTTAGCTTTGTAAGCCATTGCATCACCCGCTTGTTGAACAATCCACTGCAAAAGCATTTATGTTCCATGCACTGAAGGATATTGCAATGAAAGGACCGAAACCTGCACTTCATTTCCTGAGTGAAGTAAGATAGGCTTTCATCTCTTAACCACTGACATAACTATGTATATTATGGTTGAATATTTAGCAAGCGCCTAATAAAATGTCTGGGAGAGATAGCAATAAGTTGAAAACTGCTCTGCTTCATATATTTAGTATAGTATGTAGATAAAGTATTTAGAGGAGAATAAATAGGTCAGTATACAGCAGGCACCATGGCAAATCAAATGAAAGGTACCATAGTAAATTTTACTGGCATCTAAATTTCGGTTAAAATTTTATGTTTAATTGAGATGGTGAGATTTATAAACCCTGACATGAGTTGTATTTCCTTTAAAAGATGCATTCAGAGATTTCAAAAATAACTTTGGCATTGTTTTGCAACTATTTGCATTCCAAGTTACAAACTTATTTGGACACTAGGAAGCAAAAAAGGATCAGAAGTAAGGTGAAATTATTCAGAATAGTTTTATTGAGTAAACTGGGTTGAAGGAGAGAAACAGGAAAATAGTTCTGAATTGCCAAAGCCCAATAACCTTAGAACAATTTCACTTGCTAAAAAAAATTGATTTGTGCTGTAGTCACAGAATGCAGAGTCTACTCACTCTACCTTAAAACACCAAAGAGCTACCTAGTTGCAAACTTAATCATTAGATTAATGAAGCTGCTGCAGTTATTATATTAGATCAAAGACCAGTCAAAGGAACTGTTGCTTTAGTGGTTTAGTTTTAAGAATTAATCAAGTGCTTTCAAATATAAGACAGAAGTAATAAACATTTAGAGAAGTTCATGCGTCCACGTGGGAAAGGAAATTGTTAATCAGTCATACTGCTTTTGATATTGATACTGTTTATGAGTAAGTCTCCGTATGAAGCTTTGTAAGTAAACTTCAATAGACTGCCAATTTCTTTCTCTTCTTGTTTATGAATCAGCTATGATTAGTTTTTGCAGACAAGTATTTCTTCATATTCTTGTTCCTCCATACAGTCTGTGTATTTATACCGTATATAAATCATAGTATTATTTAGGTTGGAGAATACCTTTAAGATCCAGTTCAGCCATTGATGCTATAATCAGAACAATATTAGATAAAACCACATTAAATTATCCATACATAATTAAGAATCAAGTAGCCTTATTGGTATAAACACAAGAATAGGACTCTGAAGCAACCTTTATGTGGGCTTTTCAAAGATTAATTTTTATCTTGCAAGATTTTTAGGTTGTCAGCACAAAGGAAAGTGACAGAAGTTGGACTGGTTGCAATAGCAAATGAAACACTGCTTGTGTTAGTGATTTTTAAGATTTAAGATGTCTTGGAAAGGACAAACATTAAATTAAGAAAGGTTTGTTTCACTGAACAATGTTTCAGGGGATGGAGAATACTTGAAGCTGCGAGCATTTGTATTTCAAGTTTGGAGGGGATCTCAGCCGAGGTGGAGTTGGTGGGAATGTTTGCTGGAACTGACTTTGCCTAATTGTAAGGGATTTCAGGCTCTGTGTGTGTAAGGCCACTGACTAGGAGGTTCAAAACCAAGGGACCCAGAGCATTAATTGGGTTATAGGAGGCTATACCTATGACTATCAGGCTTTGGATGCACACCTGTTTCTGGATTCAGGTTTTTTTTGTAGAAGTCCTTAATGCCAGCTTTTGATGCATTCCTGTTTGAATATTGCTATCTGCACACATTTTTTAGAAGAGCGGTTTGTGCCAGTGCAGTCAGGTTACGTGGTTTGAGTTGATGGCCTTAGCTAAACAGTTGGGGTTCACATAAACCTCCTTTGGGTCTGGATTAGCACATCTGTCCACAGCCACAGAAAGCTTGGAAAATAAAGACACAAAGAATTTTTGGTAGCCATGTTTGTTCGATGACGCTTGGGAGGAGGGAAAAAAAATCTGACATTTTGGGAAAGAGCATTAGTAGCTGGGAGCACAAGTTTACACTACTGTGCAAAGAAAGTACGGTTTATTCCAGAAGTGTTCAGAGAAAAAGGAACGTATGCCTACTTGCTGCAAATGAACAAAATTGTATTGAAGAATTAATTCCTTCATTCCGTTACCTTTCCAAGCAGAAATAACTCATTAGGCCTCAGATATTGTTTAATCATTCAGTAGAGCATCAATAATCCTTATAATATAGGTGAGTGTTAAATTTTCAGGCACCTAGTATAGTTTAAGATGTTATACCTGCCCTCGAAAGGAGATTGCCCCACCTCTGGAAAGTCAACAGAACAGAGCTAGCGAGCATTTGTCTGCCCATTCATCTATTCCTCCAGCAGCTGTTTAAATAACAAGTTATACTTTGATGTAGTAAATGGCTAGCAAGGAGGTTTGGTAAAGTCTTAAATATGAAGGTTTTTCTTAGATGAACATGTGTCTGATCACTTCGTGTTTACTATTACTAAAAAATCTCATTTGGCTCACGTACAACTAAATACCGAGGACGGAATCAAAGGAACACAATGTTTAAAGTACTCTTAATGTCAAAAATAAAATTATCAGCTTTCAATAACAATTTCAAACTAAATCTAGTTGGCAGAGTCCCTTAAAAATAAAGGAGAAAAATATGCCACAGAGACAAATGATCAGCAGAAGACTCATTAATTTCCAAATGCTGCTGATCAGTCCTGTGATTAGCCCCTTTCTATGCCTATGCCTAGTTTAGTGCAGAACCGTGTGCCTGTGACTGGCTACTTTTCCACCAGTGCCTGTTCCACAGCACTGCAGTGTATCTGCAGCTTTCATTGGCTGCAGTTAAGCAATATGCACTTCACTACACAGGAAATGTCACAGAGAATGCTTTGTTTTGAGTGATTAAAACAACGTACAAAGTTTTGAAGAAACCCCCTCTGCTTGGAGTATATTTTGCTGTAGGCAGAATGACATGCCTTCAGGAGCATTCAAGCTCTGAACCAACTAAAAGTACTGAGACAGCGAGAGGAGAAAACCACCACATGAAAGACACTTCTCTGCTTACTCCCAAGCGTAAGATCCAAATCGCTTTTGACTTTCTCCAGCCAGTTTTACATCACTGGGGCTTCCTTAATCTTCAGTTTTTTGTTTAAGAATGAAAAGACAGCTTGATACAATATTTGCTGACATTTTTGACCAGCATCAAACTTCTCATACTAGTATGAGGCCATCATAAGATACTTGTAGAGCCTAATTCCTATCACAGCAGGTATTCACAATGGATGCAAGTGAAATCTGAAAATGGAGGTTTTCTTTTCCTCTTTTTCTCTGTGTTCATTTTGTTTTCATGTCATTCCGTACCAACTAGTTTTAGGTTCCTATTTGTAATTGCTGAAAAGGGGAGAATGGACGCTAGGCAGTTTATAAAACTTGGTATGGAC